CTAGCTGGGCTGTCGGAGCGACGCTCCTTAGGGTACGCAACGCGTATTTCGTTTGCAGGGCGTTCTGAAGCAGCTAGAAGACGGGACGAATTTCCACTGTTACTGGAGTAGGCCGCCGGCAACTTTTATAGAAGGGACGCATTTGTTGACGCCCGTATGACGGCCCACTTTTTTTAGTGACGAGCATCGTAAAGTTCACGTTGTCATTTCCAATTCGGACGAGAGAAAGATAAACTGACAAGAAGTTTATTTTAGAGTAAACATATAGAATGGCAGTAGCCATCTGCGGGGGGCCTTTTGCCAAGCTCTTGGCAACTGAAGACAAACAAATCGTCTACGTGCATGGCCGTAGGAATAGCTTTAACACCGTATGCGTAACAATTTGTCTATGTGTAATAGATAAGGCCGTAACGACAATATCAAGCTTACTTGTTATTCTAGGATACTACTAGGATATTTCGATGTTAGCCTTCACAAATATAGCGGTATCTCCGAACTCAACGAGAAGTCACGCACAGAGAAAAATATATACAGGATTGGTTTAGCGATTACTGTCTATCCGGTATCCTCTATGCGTCCGTTTGTATATTTCATCTGATTGAAAGAATACACTCGTACCATCATCAAATAAATGTAAATTCTCTGGTACGCGTTGATTTTGCATGAAATGTCATTCAGTGTTTGGCCTATTCGTACGATGTCGGGTTATCTTTGCGACTGTGACTCGTCGGAACCGCCACAGAACGCGGAGGAAAATTCGGACGTGTGTCGCCGGTTGAAGGCCGATATATAACAGTCTGTTAATTGTTATAGTTCTCACATTTTAGATATGGATAATTTCTCAATTAATGAGTCCATTTTTGTTTCTTTGCAACTGTATATAGACACAGTTGAGGTTAATGTCAGTCAGTCAGTCTGTGTTAGTGCTTAACTGAAAACACTACGCGCATATGAAGTAATACGATGATGACGACAAACTAAAACATGCTTCAACAGCGAAGTTTAGCTTAAAATAACAGGAAAATTTATTGAAAAAAATTCATCTCAGAACATTCGTTTTATTAGTTAAATCTGGATGCAGGATTGCAACGAGGATTTCAGGTCTATAGTCTGGTATGTATCTACAGAACAATGAAAGCGTACGAACGGTTGCCGTAAAAATCGATCCACTCCCCATAGACTTCTATCGGTTTTTTACACCACACAAATCTTTGATCCATATAAAGCCTAAATATCTTCGAGATAAGTGCTTGACAATGCCGCCAAATGTAGCAAAAGCATAATAAAAAAAACCTGAACCTACCGATATAAAACTCTAGGACATATGACTTTTGTGGCATAGTCAATTAGTTTTTTTTTAATTTTTAGTTAAAAATAGTCAGAGTGAGTCAAATGACAAAACCCTTTGTCTTAATCTACCATGACCACGAATCGTACCCCTGCAGCTTATCTCATGCTACTGTTTTTCTTCTCTATCCATAATGTATTGATTCGATTTACCGTGTGCCGTCCCGATTGAGCATATTTGAACGTCTTCAATTAGTCGTCTATCGCCATCTTAGCGCTCGTTCAACTTTGACCTGCGCGAACGGCGTTTGACAAGCTGCCTATTGACAGCCAGATCGAAGTATGTCCAAGAAAGTGAGGTGCCGCCAATAAATAATAATGACACATATTGATCATTTAATAGCTACAGAAGGCTACTGTAGCAATAGTGAAAGTAACAAGGCCAATTTATGGTAGCGACAGGTTTGTCTCTCTAATTTATACTTGAGGTCCGGCGGAACAAGCAGCAGCAGCAGCAGCCAGGGTTACGCAGTACGACCGTACACCTAATCATACTCTACACACAATTGATCATACTTTAATATGATTTGAAAGCGGGATGGTCAATGACACGTATGCCAATGACCAGCCGGCAATGGCAGCTATTGATTGATGATACTCTGCTTGTCCTGCCTGGAGGCTTCGACAGTTACTGCAAGCCAATCGAAGATATTGAACCTGAGTTGCAAAACAAAGGCTCGCGGAACGAATAGACAAGGTGTGGTTTTCGTAGGTTCCGGTCATTGGTCGTGTGGTTTTTTGACTTTGCCTTGAAGAAGCAGATCGTTGAAGCTATGTCCCTATACTATCGACGTTTGCCCATGTTGCAATGTACGCAAAGACACACCACACAGCATACGCTGACGAGGCGCGTGCACAACGGAATTCAAACTTGAAACGCTTAACTAGACTTATACTGTTACAAGTTCCTGTGTGTGCATTCGTGGCGTGCTGAGAAACCGCTATCTAGCGTGCATCGCGCGTTTATGAATCCCCTACCGCGTATATATTCCTTTAAGGCAGAAAGCTTCCTCCACCTTAGTGTAGGAGCAGCTTAGATTGCAGCCTACAATGCTGGAAACGTGCGTGATTGACAACGGCATAGCTTACTTGGGCTAAACAAAGCATTCAACTTGTCAGTGACTTATGCCGTAATTTCTATGATACCTAAAGCACAGAAAAGACAACGTGGTGCCTTACACGAATAGCCTATGAACGGCAATACTGAACATAGAATTTGTTCTAACAGGAGCATTTTAATATGCTGCAAACTTAATTGTTTCACTGCGGACGAATTCAGGAAGGTTATAAGATGCGTAAAAAATGGGTCATTTTTTCAAATATTAATGGGTTCGAAAGCAAAGTCAATGTTACAGTTGCTCACAAGTGAACATAGCTCAATTGTTGCCATCCTAACAGGCGTTGTATTGACAGGCCTATCTATGTGGTGAAAAGGTTTAACAGCTTATCAGCAAACGCTTATGCTTGCCTCGATAAAACCGTTATCAATGGAGAATCTGTGCACTTGTATTTTAAACAAGCTGTAAACATAAATCCGCCAAGCATGTGGGGACCAATACACTTATAAAATGTACTTTTATAAAAAGTAAACAACAAGAAAGGGTCTTGTCTCATATATGCCATCGTCTTAGTGCACGATACATAGCAAAAGAATATACCATAACCTTTTAGCTGGGAGTTGAAGATATTCAGGCATTTAGAACTTACCGACGTGATCGGCGCGAAGAAGTAAACTCAAAACGAGCCGCCGTTCGTTGTCGCCGACAGATATCCCTTATCTTCTTATATGAGCAGAGCTGATTTCGTGTCAGGGAGGACCTAAACCAATTCACCGATGGTATTTTCCCCTGAGTAGTTTGATAAGCTATTCGTAAGAGGATACGATGTAATTGTGTGCATATGTATGCATACTGGTTAGTAAATGGGCAATTTCTTCTAAAACAACGTGCCATTAATACTATTCAATGCACGATGCACGACAATCGTCCGATCGTAAAACGTTACAACCGGTTAGATGATGGTTGGCTGGAACTTTCACTTAGATGTTTCTGGAGCCTGAGAGCACCCGTCAAAGAACTTTTTATTTAAGAAGTCATATATGAGTCAATTTGCATCGGCGCCTTCTAGTCATGCTTGTTTCCATTTGGTTGATACTTACTTTCTGTTGTTTACTATTGTGCCCGAGGAGCAGTACTCACGCTATTACAATATATATAAAAAGATTCACTTCAGCCCCTTATCATCATCTACTCTTCATCGAAAACCGAATCTATTTTTCATATCTTCAAACGAAATCAAGTTCGATTCGAGTCGGATGAACAGGAGTAGTTTTGACGATACTTCCCACCGAAATATAAAACATAAAATTATTTTATTGCAGAAAATATCCGGACCTTCCAAATGGTTCCTGTTAAATGAATTTCTAAAATTCGAGATGTTTCGTGCCTCAAGCGAGCCATTAAAATTGAATCAGCTGTAAGCTTGCAGGCGGAAGATTTAAATCTGCTGGATTATGCAACACATAGCTGAACCTAGGTTCTAGGTTCTATGCAGATCTAAATAAGTCGTAAGGTTAACCAAATATCGTCAATGAAGAAATCCTAGAAAACATACAAAGCACCGTGACTCTCTTTGTATTCGCTGTTTTCGGTGTGAGGGGCGATATAGGATGCGATGTAGCCGGAAGCGAGATATGACTGCCTTCACAGTGGCGATCAGGTTACCAGTGGTAATCTCCTCTAGATCTCGGCCCTGTAATGGTTATATTATCCGCATAACTAGGAAAATAGATGTCTTTTCGAATTTTCAGTAGTAATCATACGTAAGATAAGTTTTTTTTTCAAGTTACAGCGCAAATGTTGTATTATTCATTGTACAAGGAATTATTTGTTTATCATAACGCGCCGAGCTATACAAGGCACATAACAGATGCTTCTCATATATTCAGTCTCTTACCCATTTTTTTTTAGGAAATACGGAAAGTAGCCCATGCTACTTACTGTTGCCTGCTTGCTTAGTATTCCCAATGTAACAATTCGTCAGAGCAAAATAGCTAAGTTAAATGTAGACCGCTAAAAGTGGCGTAATATCAAAAGATAGTAAAAATTGGCACAAAAAAAAAGCAAGATCTTTGTTTCCATTGTGGAATTGAGACATCTTCTCGAGAAGACTGTTATCAAAAGTTTCTCTCCTAAGCGTTTCATCACATAATAATAAATAAGAATAAGACATGCTTGGCTCAAGGTGCGTTGTTCAAATCCCAAAAATCCATTATTACAATTGAGTTTGATAGCTAGTTACGAACGTTTCCTGCATACCTTGAATTCTGCCATACGAAACAACGTCCGCATAGATACTTTAACGTCCAGTCCATTTACAATGGTACGGTGGGAGAAAAGCCAATCGAGTTTCGATTTTACCACGTAAAACAACGTTCACAACAAACGTTCAGACATAAGGTCTCCTGGAAATCTGAACACAAATGTCCTTAGACCGGATTTTCAGGTAATAAATCCAGAGCTTTCGAATGCATACTGGCTTACGTAACGATCGTTTTTATCGTTAGCGTGGTTGGGAGCTAGTCGTAATAGGTACTCGCTTAACAAACTCAAATGAGCTAACCCCCTAACAGCTTCGTTCTAATTTCTTCATAGGTCTGCTCATCATAATCAGGCGTCGGGGATGCCGTAAAAGACTGAAGAAACCGTAGCTGCCATTGGCAAAGGCGGTTGTAATAAGCCGTTATCGGTACAGATTTTTTATACGATTGTGACCTGCCCGCTAAAGGCAACAGAAAGCCATGGCTCCTTCAGTCTCTTTTAAGACGCGTTCACCAAGAAAAGTTGCTATCGGATGTAACACGCGAATCCTTGTCGTCTCACCTGACGCTTCCGCCGCCACCTGGAGACTCAACAATTGTGTGAGTACCGTGATAAGGTACGAGTGGTTTTAACGATATTTACGCCTAATATGTTTTCAATGTGTTACTATTATAATTCATATCACGTATCCACAGTCGTGTGAACAGCTAACCGGCTTGAGATGTTCCAGGTACTTTAATTTCGCAATGGTGCCTTCTAAGGTGGGAAGATTATAGTAGTACAACATTCATTCCATGTCCTGTATGGCTCTTCTCTAGAAAAATCAGGTGTCTCCTAATCGAGCCCGGTCAGGCACGCTGCTCAGTTTACTTCCCTTTAACGTTCTAAGGAACAGTACTTTTTGTTTTGTACGTAAGAATACTCCATTAGGACACATGATCAATGAGGCCACTTATTTTCGGGGGGAAAAATTGAAGTGCGAGTGACAACGAGTTCGATGAGCTTTGAGTGTGAGCGCGTCGCATATCTGAATTACTTCCCTAGAGATGGCATCCATAGCAAACACCGGACCGAACGAGACAACAACTACATGAACTCACCTATATGTAATGTAATACAAGTTTGATAAGAAAATGAAATTTGGTATGATTATGTAACTCTAATTAATTGTTACACTCGACGGTTCGTTTGTTACGTACTGACACATGCGAAACAATCGTACATGGCACTATAGTGCTCATTTCATCAGTGAAGAAATATCAGATATGTATTTCTAGAAGATGTCATAAAGGTCTCCCAGCTGTCGTTGATCCTAAGCATTACCTACCAACTCACATGCTGATTTAAGCTTTCGCTATAGTCAAGGGCGAAAAGAACCCTAAGAATTATTTACCCTATTACCCTAAGAACATTTCGTTTGTGTAGCGTCGTCTGCTTTGGGCGCTATTCCCGTCAACATGTGTTTGTTTCTTTATCGTAATCCCCATTGGGCCATCATGAACCCACATCTAATTCCTATTCGAAACTATGACTGTTACTATATCCACACGCGTCTTACCAGCCTAAGCCATGACCAGTACAGTGCCCTCAATAACATTTTAGGCAAACCATTCAAGTCGATAGGCTTATGTTAGGCAGGTTATCGCCTGGCCAGCAGCAGGACGGCTGACTACAGCTTAATGGATTTAACAAACGCAGGCCTCTGCAATATAACAGAATAGTTGTGAGTATTTGTATGCTACAGAAATTGAGCTGTGCTATACAAACCACCGACGCGCCACGCGATAGCACTATTTTCCCTTTCAATTTTAATTTAGCAATGGGCTTCTAAGTGCTTTGCGCAAAAGCGCCCTTAATTAGGCCAAAGGCTAGGAAAAAGGATGCTCTCAAAAGCTGTCAAAGCCGAGGCCTACAGCTCGTGCAGTGTTTTCCGAAGCATGACACAAACAGAATTTTGTCAATAATATCATTTTCGCCATTACGATACTTGTACGTTGATAATAACAATAATAATTATAGTTGTTACTGTATCGTAGGCCCTAGCGACATTGTGAGCTCTGCGCTGAAGCTGTTTTACTTGGTGAGCAGGTACGAGTCTGGCCGTTCGCGTATTTCAGCCTTTATTGGACGTAGGCGTAGGTAAAACGCACCAAGCCTATCGAAGACGCGGAACGAAGTATGGAATTTGACAACTCGTGCTGGTTTAGCAGTGGTACAACGACAAAATGGATAAGAGCTAGAGAACGCCGCGTTGGCCGGTCAGGGTAATTTCTAGTGCAGAAAGCAGTAGCATATGTGTGTTTTTGTGATCGTCCGACAGCCGGCCGATACAAAGACGCAATAGGCAGCATCGTAGAATTGGTCTGGACAAGTAGACTCGGATGAACCGTGCGTGACCCTTCGGTCGCTTAGACATTAGAGGTCGTTATAGACAACTCGTTACAAGAGATGACCATCAATCTCGGAGCATCCTTTGTCTCAAGAGTCTTTCTCTCCTCGGCATAATGTCATTATTGTGCAAGATGTTGGCACAGTATGAAAGATAGGGTTACATGTTTTTTGCCCTCGTAGCGTTCTATTTGTAGTGCTTGAGAGTCATCAGATTGAGCAGGCTGAATGAGGAAGAAAATTTACAGTTCAGATCCGTTACATAGTGAAGGCACAATATATGTAGCCGTGGTTACTGGAGGCAATTAGAAGTCATAGCGTTTTGATGATCGAATTTCAAAAGGTAATCCTACATTCAGAGCTCGAAGCGTTCATAGGAATAATCAGCGTTAGTATCAGTGCCTCCCTAACCAACGACTAAGAAACAGGTGCCAGGAAACCTATTCAGATTATTTTAGTAATTCGTCTTCTGTTTCCGGCAAGAGATGAGGTGGAAAAAAGACAACGCAATTATCTAATGTTTATTAACGGAATTTACTCATTTTGAAAGCTTTCATCAACAGTGTTTCGACATCGCCAAAATCATCTACTGTGTAGTGTAACTTTTACATCATTCTTCCTGTGATTACAGACACCGCTACGGGCATTTAGCTATTTTATTGTCAGAATATTGTCCGTTGCCGGTATTAATTTGCAGGTAAGGGGAACGAACTGGATCCGGGGCATACATGATGTGTTTCTTCTCCTAGACTTATGGCAAATAGCTGTTTATATCTAACATTCGTCGAACACATTAGTGTAGTTAGAAATTTATAGCTGGTCTGGGCTAACGTGCAGGATGAAGGTCACGATTCTTCCCGCATTAGCTTTGGGCTAGCTTGACCGTCTGCTGCACCGAGTTATAAATTACCGATCATAAAGGCGAAGGTTGCCATCCAGAGCATCCCACCGTGTAGTGTAGAATACGTTATCTTCCCTGTACGTCTCTTGCGGCTGGTCCAAACTTCTTTAGTAAGGGAAAGTATCTCTGAAACTTTGACCCGTTTTTAGTTCTATCATATTTCCTTGCATTTTTATTCTAATCATGCGTGAGAAAAGGCGTCTTTGCTGCAGCGTTACGGTTGCATTTAAAACAATCGAACATTAAAACAAATACATAATTTAACTGAGGCTCACAATGGAAGCATGCCTATCATAATCGAGTACATAATAAAGATCCTGGAGATGAGGACGCTCTAGGAACAGCGGTCTTCAGGACAATGGTACGTACGACGCCTCTTCAGGATACAACATAGAAAATAAGAGAAAAATATGTGCAACGACAGTCCCCCTAAGGTTTTTCCGTACGAAGACCTTATAGTTGTAGTTTCCGTATCCGGAGATAGCATATAACACATCTTATTGATTCGAGGAGAATCGATAGGGCAATGCAAGATTGACGGGCTTCGAAAGAGGGTTCTAGTTTAAATGAGATAAAAATCTGGTCTAGCATATGAATGTAATCTAGACCGAATTATATAGCGTGATTCTGTTACACTACCATTTTTATATTACGTTACATTGAGACAATGTTGCTAATGCGAGGAAACAAAGTTTTAAAGCAAAACTTTTATTTGTTGCTACATAATAAATTGTGCAAAGCTGCAAATAAACTCTCCTAACGAAGTCGCTCCATTTCCAGTTCTTCGCCTTCTTCTAATCCGATCCTACATTGGTCATCGGCATTAACCTACCCGTCTTTGCGGTTGGTGGGCTTCGAACGGAAGACTTGCTGGCAGTACGGACGCAGATTATTTCTAGGATAAACACCAGGTGTTTCTCTCGGTGCATTGTCTATGCTCTGTTTTGTTGAAGAGCTTCAACAAGTGGTGTTCGATTTACGATCCTTTATCTTTTATCCTTTATATTACGAATCTTTATTGTTGCTTTCAAACTCGTACCTTAGAACTGTAGCAGTAGAACTTGTAGCAGAAACTGCAGTGAACTTCTTTGCGAAACGCGTCTCTGTCTAGAAAGGCAAGATTGAGCTACTTAATCTTGTTAGAGGCAAACTGGAGGAACCTTTTATTATTTTCTGTATAATGTATAATTTCCTAATTGTGAAAAAAAAACATTGCTTACTCTTATTAGCTCTATCGTGTCAGATGTTACCGGCTTTCTGTTTTCCAAACATTGAAACATTTCGACAAATGGCAGGGAGCCTGTCACACTTTCGACTGTCGGCACATTTAGCCCATCGATAATAGGCGTTCGACTGGTAGTACCTCATTCCTGTTAACTGGATTTGGTCAAGCCCGATTGTCTCGATGTGTTTTTTTTTTTATAATTCATAATAAGGGGCCATATTTCACGGTGATAGGTATCCCTTAGTGATTATATATAGATATATATATATACTATATATGATTATATATAAACATATATACTATATTTGTAGTTGCCATTTACACTTTTGTATAATACCATTAATTCCCCTTCTAGTTATTTATATAAATGGCTATATATTTAACTATAGCTACGCATCTCTCTCGAAGCTGTAAACAGAGTCAACTCATCTCGACACGTGTTCTACATACACGGCCTTTTTATATACGTTATGGCCTGTTATAACCATTATGCCATATTGTCCATTACACTGTGTGCTAATTGGTAACGGGCAAGTTGCCTATCGAATGAATGTAGCAGTCGCCACCATTGGCGATAGACGTACTATCACCGGTTGACACATGCATACGGGGGGTGTTTACTTATCACCTAATATATGCGACAGAGATACGTACAGTTGTAGAACAGTAATGGCTATTGTCTTTTGGCAAGCTCTATGTCTGCACGATCATATTAGGAGAGAACTAATGGTCTCGTAGTCTGCAAATGCTTTTTTTTTTTTACATATTTACTCATATACGAACACCTTCGTGCAATACCGTGGTTCATATATATGAATGGCTGTGCCCTTTTTTGCATAGATGAGAAAAGTGTGTACCCCCCCCCCCCCCTCACTCTTCCCCTGTACGTTTATTTGGTACGTCGACCGAAAAACATTTCTATCCGACGGTTTGAGCATTTCGAGTGAAAGCTGCGTCACGTGGGCTAAAAAAATTATGCATATCGTTAAAAGCTTTTTTACACTGTGGGCGCATGTACGTATTGGTATTCTTTCTACAAAGTGGATTCACTAAACATGTCAGAATATTTTTACAAGCGAAACTTACTCTGCTCTAGACTATACAGCAGAAGCCAATTCCTAAAGCGGACAGTCGGGTAAGTCGGTACCGAAAAATTCTGCTACACAAATAGAAAGTACCAGCAGACGTCATTCTATGCTTTATCTGTGCCGCTCCACTAGACTTCTCGAAAATATTGAGTACTACGTCCAGCTATACGCTTTCTTGATCTTACCAAGTAGCAATTTTCCTTTGGGTCCCTGGAAAAGATAGAGGTTCAGTTTGGAAGTTGTGTCAGAAGGCTGCTAGATAATATCGATTTTAACTAAAGGGTATAATAGGCAGAAGAGATAGCTGTAAATCCAAAAGCAACATCTCAGACTTGCGATTAAATGGAGAGACCAAATGGTATCAAATATATAAATGATACCGTGAGTCTCTGTTATATTTAAAAAAAAAAAATTCAAGCTTTAGGTTAACAACTAAGGGCTTGTTTTTGGCGCACTGGTAGGCGAATTCAAATTAGAAGCATGCCACTAGAATTAGACATAATCTAAGAGTTGCTATCTTTAATAAAATTACGAGTTAGTCATTTCACTGAAAGAATACCGTTGCATAGCAAGATATTGCCAGCCCAAATTCTGCAAATTTCGACACTGACTAACTTTTGAACTAGTTTATCTAGAACGATATTTTTTTGATGTGTTATAGATTTTCGCCCTTATCTGACACGCTTTTCCTGGCACTTCTGCGCAGCCAGACGCGTTCTACTTGCTCTCTTATGCGCGACTTCTCTATCCCTGAATTTTCGAACTTAATCGATAGTGGTATACGTACGTTTACCAGTTGCCCTTTTCGAAGGCCCCGTAACGATACAGGCTTAGATCGGGGGAATAAACAGGTGGAAGCCAAAGTTACGTATTCTTTCGCTCAATACAAAGAGTAATTGAGATATGGCGGCAAGGACAACACTTTGTGTTTTCGATCGTCGTGTCAACAGTCTCTCCTAAATAAGTCGAGATAGTGGGCTGCGATTATTTGTCTATTAGTAGCGAGCGGCATACAACTGCAAGCCCTACAATCACCTCACGCCTGAACTCATTCGACACTTGACTTGCCTCAGGAGGAACGCCATTCTCTCCTGTTGGTGGTGGAGGTTGAACCATATCCTTTCTATGGCGACCGTGTGTCTCAGGCGCTTTTCTTGCTGGCTAAAGACCCTTAAATGGTATGTAAACTAGGTGACACGAATTTTTAATTGACAGGGCCCATTTTTAGTATATGGGTTATAACACTGTAACATATGAAATGCCAGTTTCAGTCCATAAAATTCTGCATTTGTGAAAAGCCTCCTTGATTGTGGTATCCGTTCTTGCACCCGACATGTGGTCACTTCCCCGCTCGCATTCAACACTTCAGTCTCCGTTCTTAGAACGTTGGCACCGTTCACGTACTGCGCTTTCGCTTAAGCTCTGTTTGCCTGATGCCTTATCCAATCTTTAGGTAACTTCCGCAGTACAGCGGCATTTAACCCAAAAAAAATTTCACCAAACTCAACCAGTTTTCACTCACAAGTTCCTGGGATACTGAAGTATTTTCCATCCAAATATTTTCGAAGCGGTGCGTACTTCAGAAATAACTTCGAAGCCCGACGGATTCGCTTGTAACAGCCTGACATGGAATTTCGCACCGTTAATATTTGTTCGTGTACGAAATAAAATGCACGATCGAAATGTGGACATGCACCCCCCGATCGTCGTTTCTTGGCCTCTATTAATAGACTTAGTAATAAATTGTACCGAAATTCCGTTTATCAAATAGTTCAGTAAGTGAAGAAACCATTCCTTAGAATAGTCTAAATGGCAAAAGCATTACCGTACCTAAATTGACTTTCTCTCACGTAAACGTCAACTACGTCTGTATGCTGGTAATCTATTTGAACCGTATAGCCCCCATGCCATTACCGGCGCCACCTTCATAGTTGATGCTTATCGTTGAATAGATGCACCATCCACATCGTGGCTCGTAGTTCTCTAAGGCCATAGCCTTCGGGTTAGGTGGCACAAACAGAAGCAAAAGAAGCGGACCTTTATATATATATTGCTCGTTATATAAAATAGACCAGTAGTAGAGGTTTAACACATTTTCATCGTTCTTCCACGAAGAACTTGACGTCCTGTAATGAGCTTAATGATTAATACACTAACTTGTTATGTTGGAAAAGTATGCGTGTACAATGCCAGTCTAAACAAAGTTAAACAACTCCCACTTAACTACAAAAATCAACAATACTTTAGCCCGAGCGAAATGCGCAGGAAATTACCAGTCACGATGTCAACCGACCAATATGTAGTCCACGAGTTGTTTTTTAGAAGTTGTTTTTCGAAGTTAAGCAAGCAAGGCAGCGTCAAACTAAATTAGTCACAATTCGTCTGGGTTCTACGTCTTTTACAGTATGGTGCCTAAAAGGTGTATAATTCACGAGCGTTTGAGTGCTTATCTTCAAAAGTATACTTTGGAGATTTCTTTTTGCCCACGGAGCAGCCCTATACGGCCGATCGGTGGCTAAAATAGAGCGAAAATTGCTTATTTCAGTTCCCCAAGAGCACACAGGTAGTATACAACAAAATAGTCTTTATTGCTAACCGCCCCATTTTTGCCTAATTACTGAAACACGTTTATGCGGTCTTAAACGACCTACAGTTGATTTCTCAGGACGAGGCGAGGATACGGCAGCGAGTCTTATCTGGCGGAGTCTTCGTACTTGATGTACTCGAAGTTACTAAGCTTGATGAGGGCAATATAGAGGTCACTTTAGAAAATGACGAAGGAGATCGAATTTGCGAGGAATTCCGCCTCGAACTTCTAGGTGAGTTGCAGTTGTATCACTCTTGCATATAGACGACGCCCTAATATAATTTTTCTGGATTTGAACAAAGTGTGCATACAAGTATGTTATTATTGTTATTGCACATTAAAGGACGTATACAATGTAATCGAATGAGATCAAAATAAAAGCCAGCATTATGGAATTTCATCGATGTATTTACTAGGTATCTCGTATTTGAAAGACGATCTATGAGCTTTGTAGTTAGTTGTTAATGTTTGTAGTTTACTAAATTGTGAAGCAATAAATTCGACATATTTTCTATTGAATAAATTTTTCGAGCCCTGAACCTTGGAATTTCGAGTTAACCTAACTCGTTCTCCTGTGATGCAGTACATCACATTTGGCCATTAATTTCAGGTCACGTTAAACCTAACAAAAAAAAAACGATTTATGTCAGTCTAAGTTTAACCCAAGGCATCGGACATATGTATTCTTTAGACCAATCTCTAGTTTTACTAATGGCATGCATTGTTTTTTTTTATTACTGAATGATTGATTTGTAGAATTGTATCCTGAAGGCTGGTGCTGTAGTTTAATTCGTGGACTTCCGGGACATGTACAGCTAACGCGGGGAGCAGACGCAACGCTTCGAACTCGCTTTCTAGCTAATCCAAAACCTGAATTCACCTGGCTACAGAACGTAAGCTCACCCTGACTCTTACCCTATATACGGTACAAATATACGGCCATATCATTGTTCACTACCTGCCGATCATGTCGTGCCTCCATTTAAATTCAATATCCGAATAAGCAGTGCTGATATCGCAGCGGTAACTGCGTCAGTAGGGCGCCGGTCAGTAGAGACGCATAAATTTTTCATAAAAGTGATTCGAGATAATATCAACCCGTCGCACCCAAACGGGTCTAATCAGCGCCGGCAGATTATTAGGCACCATTGCAGCAGTGTTACACAATATATGACTATTACTATTACATTGTTTGCTCTTAGTAGTACGCATTCGAAGTTATTCCCATCGCGGTGCATTCAGGGTTTCCAGAGGACATCTTGTTAGGGGTAATACTGGTAGGAAACATGTGAAAAGCAAAGCGTTCCCATCCCATGTCGACGCAGGACGCATCGGGTAGTCCTTGTCGGATTAACCAGTAATAATTTGTCGATTACTACTGGAAACAACAATGCTATGTTTTTCAAATATTCGTAAAGTATCCTTCAGCAATATAGAAGACCACTAAACGGTAATGGCGGAAGTTCCGACGTCCGCAGTGAGTCTGCTGTTTCAATGAGTCAAGTATACAAATATCAGACTTATCGTCGTACGAGAACGTTAATGTGAGACAGGAGAATGCATTAATGGTGCTAGGCAAACAAAGGTGGCACAATACTCGCATTGGTAAGTGTTTGTGTTGCGCGCGTGATCCGATGGACTAATTTTTATCCGTTTGTTGTTGCTCCTTCAAATGTCTAAGGTGTAATTACAATGGCGTACCATAGGTCACAATTGGTGTTCCGCTCCATAATAATACTGGCATTCCTACACTCATTGAAACTTATTGCAGAAGCCTTGGAGTCACCCAGCCTAAATAGGCATTTGTGGATTGGGCTTTTTCATTCAGCTGAGAGTACGACAGCTGACCACTTCAGTCGTACTGTGTCCGGCGGAAAAGATGACTGTCGTTGAACGACAGCTACCACCCGAAATAAATAAATCATCAAACGAACAGGTCGTCCAGTCAAGCCTTTGATTTTCAGCCGCCACAAAGTCTAGTAAAGTGCCGGCTACGAGCTGTATGTCTATGAGTGAACTGAGTATATAGGTATGATCACAAGGAGGTGATGTCCTTATTATGCCCTATTTGGTTAGGTCTACTGCTCTTTTGCCTTCAGGAGACAAGAAAGCTTAAGTAATAGGTGACGTGACCGGAGTAATATTTTAATGATGCTGATCGATTTTATTATGGTCTTCACTTTGCAGCCTTATCTGCTAAATAAATAGTCCACTTCGTCCGATTGCCTCTATACCTCCGCCGTTAGGCATTCTATCATACGGCTGGTTCTCAGCTCGAAACGAAGTCTGTCTACCTCCGAGCTTAAGCTCAGACCAACGTGTCTTCAAGATTAGCAGGCAAATGCTTATAACCATACGAACAAACCGACTCACAAGTCGCATCTATATGTACATCGAAGACGACCAATTTACCATGATAGTGGCAGGTTTCGCGTGCTGACATTAATGCGTGAGACTTCAAGTAGTAACAAGAGTTTGCTACATTGAAATTGTGTTGTGCTTCGTTCATCTTTCTGAGTTTTTATGAGCATCTCGTTGAAAGCCGCACGGATCAAGCTCACGTTTCGATTGGTCTCGGTCCTCTCGAGGAATGTACATTCGACTAGCTTATCCAGGAGATTCGGTATTTTATTATTTTTGTCACTTTGTTATACCATATCGTTTTCTTTGTACATAAAAGGGTTCGAGTTCAGACAACCTCGTCCGATCCTAACCCTCTAAAGTTCTACCGGCATGCGTATTTCTACTGCTGCCATTCCGGTGATATGTAAAAGGATGAACACAGGCAAGACGCCCAAGCTTTGATTACCGCGTATCTGCTAGGCTGGACCATTTATTTAGGCTCTGTAGTAGTCGCGTAACGAACACTCGTATATGGGCATACAGCCTCGCTTCTCCCACGACGCTAGAACTGCACTATTTGGCCTAGTTTTTTCCTGTTCACTTGGCCCCATGATAGTTAACTAGCGTAGTTATAGAACAACTAAGATTCAATTCGTCTAGGCCGGTTCGCGCGATTTCTTTTCCAAGTGAGGTGTTAGGAGGCGATCAGAGTCAGATGCTCAGACGTAGTGGTAAAGCTTTAATTTTACCAACCGCCTGTTTGCAACTCACCATATCATTCTACCAGCTGTCTGAGCGGAATCACGCTCCGACGCGTGACTAACGTGCCCGGCCTCTTATAGTTATCATCAAATATGAGTGCACACACCCGTTGACAACAGTCATCGGCACGCGAAGCACGGCGTATAGCTTTTATACATCCCCACCCCTCCTTCGGTCCTCCTCTGCACAGAACTATAGCGCCTTTTGGAGTATGCCACTACCCACTCGCAGCGGTAAGTAGTTACCTGTCGGCAGCTCCACCGCGTCATATAAGACTGTTTGAACGGAGAGAATTCCACGGACCTATGCTCACTTCAGCGTTTACTTCGAAATACGCCGTCGTCATAGCGTGCGGCGAAAGTTCTCAGCGTCAACTCATTAAGATGGCTTAAATGCAAGTGCTGATAGTGGCTGAGCAAAGTACCGCTGCATCCAGCTGCCAAGCTAGTAGCAATGGCAGTTGTGTGAACGTAAAACGACGAAAAATGCGGTGGCGTCTTTTCCTTAGGTATTAGGGCCTTGTTTCTGAGAAAAGGAGGGGCATGCATGTACTCGTTGAAAATGCAATCATTAGAAAAACTTGTATCTGCATATAGAAACGCTCTTGTTTGTTACTTGTGCCATTTTGGCGTGTGCTTGAATGAATGATGCATACAAGTGAGTGCACTCGGGTACGATTGTAATAGTAGCTACCACCGTGACAGTTATCTCATTCTGAAAACTCAATAGAAGGAACACCCTGTTCCTATTAACAAAAATCCGTTACTTTACACATAGGCATGACTCAATCTGAGAAAGCATGATTTGTTCCTCTAACTATGTCATGCTTAGTTAATAACCTACATCCTGTTATTTAACTGTTTATATTAGTTAATTGTCATATTGAAGAGGAGCAAATATTTAATAGAAAGGTATAGATACAAGAATTATGCAGCTATAAATACTTGGTTTAAGATCAGGCTTCATTATTGGTTGAATTCACTCGCGTATTTCTAATTAGAATGGGAGAGGCTGTTATGTTTAGAAGTTTTGCTCATAAATTTTACATTTTTTAACACGAGACACGGTAGTCGGCTCTAGATAAACATTTATGCAGTCTTTGAGTAAGCAATACCGCAGTCTATTAGCACACTATAGCACGACACAACAATATGAAACAATCGATCACGTTTCGTGTTTATCAAAGTTCTTTCTACCTCTTGCTACATAAACCGTTTACCCGTAACTTAAGAAAAACTTGAATATTAATTTGCTCTAGTTGTAATATAGTGCTTAGTACAACTAAACCTGATCTATCTTCTACATCTAAAAAATCTACATTTGCTCGAAAATTATAAATTAATTAGTCTATCTGTATATGCATTCATATGTTTTTGTCATAGGGCGTGCCAATCGAACAGTCACAATCAATGGATGCTGATAACTGTAAGTCAGTTAGGCCTCATGGTGACCTCTTGGCCCTATTATCAGGAGACAGTAGCGAGTTGCAACTGAAGGCAATCGGAGAAAACTCGCCTATTACACACTTTCACATCTGCGCGATCGTCGATAACGACTATGGTTGTGACTATCGTACGGTCGAACTGACGGTCTGGGACGCTCATGAAAGAGTTTCCATTGAGCAGCTGGAAAAGTTCGCAGCACAGTACGTTCTTGAGGAGCACATCATTGGAACGTGAGTACCAGCTGACAGCATACATGCTTAATCTAACGGTGATTTTTGACTAAATGTCTTGAATGCAAGGTTCTAGCTCATGGCATCATGGCCCTCTAGGGACTAACTACAGTTATTAAACACTCGGTATATTAAGTTCAGTAATTATATATTATCTCCAAGAACTCAAAGCTGGCCTGGTGAATAGTTGTAAATGTCGCAGCTGTACTTCTTCCACGCAGAAAATACTGTTGGATTTGCAATTTTTTATCCCGTACGATTTAATTGCACACAAAACTACCATAAACACGCTCGGACAAGATATAAACAATACAGTTAATACAGAACAACATAGGGAAAGAGGTAACAAAACTTGGGAACTTGTAAAGCGGTTTAGGTTCGATACCGAATATAAACATATTTCGCTTTGTAGTAGCAGCCAGCTATCCAGAACTTAACACGGTAGTATCGTAAGTAAAATTCGGAACGTTAACTTCATGAGAAAATGCGAGAAACGTAATATTTTAAGTTAAATAGCAAGAGTTGAAGGTTGCCGAAATAATTGTCCGACCGATCTAATCGCATCCTGTCACCAGAAGAAAGGCAACTATAGCTGTTTGTTTGCAAAACAGTTGTTTTTCCTTTATTCGAAATAAAGCAAAAACGAAAGAATTGTGATAATCTGAGCAAATCCCTCTAAATCGAACGCATCTGATTACGCAGTTAGTTTTTTGTTGGAAATTTATCATCTACTACAGTCGACGCCTTTTCTTAAGCAGGACACCATGGCCAGCTTGCGATTAGAAAAACTTTGTTAACGAACAGTAACCTGAAAAGTATATATCTTCTAGCGGGACGATTGTGAAACTAACAGGTGGCCTGACGGCTTACGGCCAAACTGAGGCGCTAGACCGCCCTAAAACTACTAGCAAGACGAGCCGACAGAAGAGGTAGATGAGAGAAGCTGACGTACTTGACGTAATTTTCTAGAAAAAAATAATTAAAGATCTATTCGCTTCGTGTTGTACTTTTGTGCCTTCGACTATTCTGCAGAACGAATTTCTTCGAACCCTCTTAATTTTAGAACATTTTTTGGACTGATAAAACGAAGCATAGGATATGTGCGTTCGTCCGGAACTGAATTCGCAGTTCCTCTTCTCACTGCTTCAGGCTGATTCAAATAATCCTCGTGTTTACTTTAAAAATTGTTCTCAGAACTGGCGTTTATTTCAACTTTAAGTTACGTATCGTAGTGGAATTTTAGTTATGATTGTCAGGACAACATCTGTATTGTTCAGCCTGAGAGGTGCACCTGGATGATCTTGTTAGCGATTTGTGGGTTAGTTAAGACTCCGTCAAAATGGGTTAAATATCTTAGTCGCTTGAAAATCGATGTGCGCAGTTTTTTTTTTCTCAGAACGAGTTTATTGTCTCGACTGTGCAATCTAGCAAACTATTATTTAGCGTAATACACATCCCAACAATAATAAATGTAATCGCATAATCAGCGGAATGCCGTTCAATAATTACATTTTATTTATTTGTTTACGTATTAACAATCGAAAAAACCAGTAACGGAGGAAAGGGCTGAGCCAAGTTAGGTTAGGATGTATCCTACAGTAATCTCTCTGGCAACAAGCAGATTCATCCCGATATCGGGATTTTTAAGTTCTAAAGCGCTCGGTCATCCAACAGATAGAACATCACTCATACTAATTAGCTCAATTATAAAGATTTGGTCAATGCATGCAAAGAAGGATGAAAAGCGGCAGCCATTCCAAATGTTATAGCACGGTATCGAAATCCAGCTGCAAATTCAACATCACCACTGAAATGAGATCGAACATCCAATTTTGAACCAATTGAACGTTTCGAAAGTTTGATGTCAGACTGATTTCCGTGCGCTGGAGTTTTTTTGCAGAAAAAAAATTACTAGATTAATCACCGATAGACGTTTTCTGATCGTTCGCAGCGGTCGGTTCGGAACGGTATACACGTGCCAGGATAAGTCGAGTGGACGTCAAGTGGCAGCGAAGATCATCAAAACGATTACTTCCAGGGAAAGCCTAGCCGTTGAGCGTGAAGTTGAAGTGCTCAATCGATTCCGCATGCACCCCAAGTTACTCACCCTCCTCGGGGTGTATCGGGGGCCAAAGGAAATGATTCTTGTTACCGAATTGTAAGTGTGATTCAGTGATAATTGACGAAGATGCATGTTAGCTCTATGCTTGCCAAACCGGATTCGAAAATCATAATAGCTGTTATTATATGTTGCATAGAGTGCCTCATGTAGCACTGAGTAAGATAAGTGATTACTACATCAAAACGACATACAGCAACATGTTTTTCATTTTTTCGCAGCGTGGCCGGCGGCGAACTGTTTGAAAGGGTGGTAGCCGAAGAATTTTGCTTGACAGAGCAGGACTGCGTGCAATTCTTACGGCAAATTCTTGATGCTATGGATTTCGTGCACGTACAAAACGTATTACATCTAGATTTGAAGCCTGAGAACATCCTTTGCACTGACGCTAGCGGATATAACGTGCGTTGTTGTTTCGCAATGGGTGTCGACACTCTAACAACGACACCTTGAGGTTTTTCTCGAACATTTTTCAATGTATATTCGCTTTCAAAGACACCAGACTCTCTGTATGTGCCTAAAAGTAATTAGATTCACTAACAATGTGGTAGACTTTGCACATATAACTGTATGCGGTATTCGTGGTGATGATTATCTTTTCTCTGAGTCGATGAACTTCTTGGACTTGAATTCACAGACAAACCCATATTTATCTGATAAATATATACCTCCGCCTTCATATAGACAATTGGACAGGTCAAATACAGAGTTAGGACCACACGGAAAATTTCTATTTACCATGTGTTTAGCAGCTTAACAACTGATAATTTATCCGAGTGTTTGTTGGAGGCTTTACGTAATAGAATCGCAGTGTACGAAAAACGAAAGTCATTTTCTAAGATGCATCTATACACTTTTTCCTCATTTTAATAGATTCATCAGAAAATACTCAAAATTGAAGAACACGATCTTTGTTATAATGAAGTAGCTGGTGCATGCTGAGAAGATATCTCATTTGGGTAGGGCGGATCGACATCCCGCTCAGCCAGTGTTACAAATTTCTTTTATCTGTTCTCTATCGAAGCACAAAGATGATGATGAACACATAGCAAAAAAAGTGCCGCTCAGCTAGCAGTATTTGTTGCGCCAGCGTAAATATCACTTTGGAAATATCAGACTCTCAATGGCTCCCCTTGGTCTTTGTTCATCCCAGAAATGACATTAAATCAAGTTAAACTTAAAAGCAAATAGGTGATCTCATCTTTAGATTTACTCAAGCAAGATTCGCTTTCAAATGAATAGAACATCGATGTACGTTATGACATTTCAAAACGAAAGCTGGTTTACTACAGGACTTCTAATATGACACTAATGGCGATAATATGGAATAGCGTCTAGCAAGAAGTATGATAGTTTGAATACGAAACGAACCGCTAACAACATTTCGTACGGTATGTAACAGAATTTCGTTTAGTTATCTCGTGTTCGTTGAATGTATATGCTTGTGGATTGCCGTCTTTCTTACCGTTCGTACAGATTCATTGAATGCCGGTATATCGTACCTAAGATAATTGCGAGTCTGTGTGGATGCGTGTATACACCTTTTCTCTCGTTTTAATAGATCAAAATTATCGATTTTGGCCTTGCTCAACATTATGATCCGTCTGGAGATTTGAGAATTCTCTTCGGAACGCCAGAGTTCGTTGCTCCGGAAGTGATTAGCTATGAGCCCGTTTCACCTAAGAGCGACATGTGGAGTATAGGTAAGCAGACGATAACTAAAACACATATTCACGCTAAGAATTAGATAGAATACGCAATTAATGCTCACCGAAGTTAGCTCGCCAACAACTTAATATGGTTGCACTGCATAAAGTCTCTGCTAGACATATGCTAGTTTATAAACATCAACTCCTATTACGCGATATATTGGACGGCCAAGCCTCCGTTTCAAAGAGACCAAACGTTTCTGCTTCGCGTCCCGTCCTCGGCAATGCTACCGAATTTGTGTGACCAAAAACAGTTATTAATTATTTTATGAGAGCATGCATTGTTTGTGGGTTTCTCCGGATATTTTAACCTAGAAGAAAAACACTTTGATAGATGGGAAGCAGACTGCTCAAGCAGAAGTTCTGGTTCAAAGCTCTTACCCGCTCTGTCGGACCTAGGGCAGACCATGTGCTAGAGACTGCCTCCATACCGGGTTGTTTAATGTACCTATGTGACCTAATTGCAGGGTTTGCTTGGAAGTAACCTCGCACATCTATCACTTCAGACCCGTTGAGGTGGCTTTATTTCGTTGCGGTTACGCTTGTCTCTTGAAGTGCGCTGCAGCCGAATATCGTGTGTTCAAGATAGTCGGTTAAACCTAATTTACACAGAACGCATGCGGGATCTTGTATGTTCTCGTTTGTTTCCATATAAGTCTGCAATTGTTCAGGACCGGTAAGAACTGCCTAGATGACTTCATATGGTAGTTTGCCATATGGCCTGCCATACGACTTGCTAGGTCCTTGTCAGGTCCTTAACTTCGTCCAGTATACTAAGCCGCCGAGTCTGATCTGGTCATATTCTTGCTGCCATTTTGTCAGCATAGCTTTTTTTCTGTCAGCAGATTTACGTTTTCATGGAGATAGCGTTCCGCCCTCTCATCTGCTAGAAGTTCGCATGGAATGTTTTATTTTAGACGAGGACAACATCTATCGTATCCGTCCGTTAGACCCTAACGATCCTGACGGCGACTACTCTGTGTCCACCCGATAGGAGTGTCTTCCTATTTTTGTCCCTGTCTAGCGCCATGCTCACCCAGGTGGGGAAGTCTAAAGGGCGACCGACTCCGCTAGTATTGCTAGCACATGTCTTGTCCCCTCCGAAGCCCCACCACCCCTAGCTATAAGTCGTGCCAGGCTCGTAGCGCACCTCATTGCTTTCGGAGCTGTATATTTGACATGTGGCGAACGCGTCAGCCCTGTATCTAGAATCATTTCCACATATTTCGCTATGTAATAAATTTTGATGTATCCTTCTTCAAGCCTAAGTTTAAGTTCGTTAGTTTTCTTTCTACTTATCAAATAAATGGCTTCGTTTCTTTTTAGCGCTATCCTGAAGCTATGCTCCCCAAGCTTATCCTGTCTTTAACGCAGCTGCTGACTTTGCGGTAACTAGTACTGCTAAAACATAAATCAGCATACACAATATACTCGACACCACCGAGCAGATCGAGTACTTCGTCATACATCAGATCATACAGTGTAGCACCGACTAAGAATCTCTGAGGAAGCTTGATCAAGATTTACTGTCTTCCGTGGCTCGTGTCATATTCTCTGTCATTTATATAAAATGAAAAAATCTGTCTTCAATAGGGAGATGTTATTTTCTTTTTTGAAGCTATCATGATAACTTTCCAGTTAACTGTGTTAAAAGAATTTTTGACATGACTGTAAGTGCGAAGTTCTCCTTTCTCCTTCCCTTCTCCTCTCTTCCTTCTCGTCCCTTCCCTAGTGTGCTCTGTTGAGAACTCTCTGGACTGCAGCAAGGGTGGACTTACCCTGGCGGAACCCGCATTGAGAGCCCGATCCCCTATTTCTTTTTCTAAGCTGGCAATGAAGCTGCTTTTCATGATCTTTTCTGTCGTACTCAACAGGCGAATCAGTCGATAAGCCAACGGGTCAGTTTTATTTCCCGCCTTCGTAATCAACGTCAAATACGCTTTTTCCCATATTTTCGCAAAGCGCTTTTTTTTATAGGGCAGCTCACCAGCTTCCTGAATATCTCCGGCTATCTTTTCAACAGAAGCTTTATTACTTCCAGCGAGACTTAATCCGGACGATGCCCTACCTGCCCGATTTCCTCCGCTATGATCCTCGGAATATCCTGCTCGCTCATTATAATCAGTCTTATCCTTATTGGTGTGGGTTTTGGTAAAAAATGGTCGATTGCTTTATCGACTTTGTCGACCATCACGGGCCATCTTCATCAGCTTATTTGTGACTATTTGGTAAAATAGATCAAAGTTGTTCCTTTCTACTTTTTCACTAAATATTTATATAATTGACCGCCTTAGTTCGCCCCATGAGGGCACGAAATATATTTTATGAGAGCTTGAGTTCTTTTTCCTGACTCCAAGCTTTAGCTACCTTTTCCTTTTCCAAAATGAGTCTCCCCCTTTATCTGCTGCGCGTTTTTGTGGAGTCTTCACAGTCTGATGCACTCAATCCGTGTCCCATTTCCTCATTGCACCAGTAGACTGAGTACCGTCAACCACCCCTCCCCCGACGTGCTGACAGACCCTCAATGCCTAGGGACTTTCCAGTATCTAAATTGTGTCAACGAGACAGCGCTAATTGCCTTAATCATAAATCCACAGATTTTAACAATACACGATCTGTAATTCATTGGTAAATCTCTATTATCCACACTTAATTATGCACATGTTGTATGTGTTAGCACCTGTTATGCAAAATATCGCTATTGTTGACTACAGGCCAGTGCACTGCTCGAAGGATTATTCTAATGAACGTACTTTGAATTACAAACGTCGTCTAACTTAGGTACAGAGCTCAACCGTGTTGTATCGTGATAGAAGGTCACTGTCCAGCTCGTATGGCTTCTGCGTTTACAGAAGGAATGCGTAGTCTACTATTTAAGAGCGGCCTTCTGAAACGAGGAGCTCTCTACACAATCATTCCGCGTACCATAATTTATAGAGAAAATATTCGTGCAAAAGTGTCGTATTTTTTTTCTGACAAAAATTGACACTTTTGTTTCCGATATTGCTCTGTCAATATACTTGCATGTGCAAAATATTGCAATAATACCGTTTTTCACCATTTATCCACATGTCAGAAATTGTATGACACATTCTACCGTAAATTGAAACCCATATGGCTGAGAGTAGCATTTGTTACCGACGATTGAGCACTGTGCAATCAAAAGCCTTAGAAGTCGGTGCCAAGTTTTTGCACCGAAGGAATTTATTAATCATCCACAGAACCAGTATCGCCTGAGTATATTTGAAAAGAAGCTGTTTTAAATTGATTAGTAACTATAGGCGGAAAACAAAAAAATCGACGTAAGTGTTTCAATTTATTATCCTATATTTTAGTGGTTTCGCGATATTTTCGTGTCGACAATTTCATATACTTTGCTGCATTCTATTACCATGGAATATCATGTGGTGTTCTACTTTACGTTTCGTGTAATGCTTTCAGGTGTTATTACGTATGTCCTTCTATCGGGTCTATCGCCTTTTATGGGCGACACGGATGATCAGACGTTCCAAAACGTTATTAGTGTGGATTACGAGTTTGACGCGGATGCGTTCGAAGACATTTCGTCTGAGGCAGTAGCGTTCGTGAAGCGTCTCCTCGTTAAAGAACCCACGTAAGCTAATGAAAAAATGAAATGCAATTGTTTACAGCATGCGTATTACACATCCATCGAAAATATATTTAGCATTTAAGCAACTTTATTTCTTTTTACGTATTATCAGAGCTATACTCATTGTATTCTTATAACAACATTGTAATAGACTTGCATCGGCAGTATGCGCATTTCTTATTTATAAAGTACGTTGATCACTTTAATATGTCCTGTTTCATGCTCTTTAATAGTTTTTTGCCTTTGTAAAATCTATTTTCTTTTAATTTGCAATAACAATAAACTTATTCTATGGTGATCTCTAGTTTTGCCTAATTATCTAAACTCATTGTAGCCTTCGACCGAGTTGTGAAGAATGCCTGTTAGATCCGTGGCTTAGTGGAGACATCGACAATCCATCGCGAAAAAAGATCCTCATAAATACCAAAAAATTAAAATCGTTTGTTGTGCGCCGTAAATGGCTGGTACGTAAGTGCACTTTCTCAATAATAATAAAATTATTATTATTAAAGTTAGGTTGTGGGAATAATGCTTGATCTCACTCTTTAGGTTTGGGACGAGCTTCACTCGACGTTTCATCTACGTTCATAATTTGAGCCCGTCAGGCTGACTTATTCTAATTACAACTCAGAAATAGAGTTAGCACGCTGGCTTTGTTGTGGAGTTTTAAGAGTAGTAAATATAGATAGATCAAGCCAGTTTATGGCCAACGTGAAATGTATCTGGGTGAACCAAGAACAGATCCTTTTGTCAAACAAACAGGCACCCTAGCCATAGGACATATGTTCGACTTGAGTTAACCAGCATTAAATTTATGCTGACCTATTTATCTTGACATGTTTCCGTAAAATGGTAGAGTGTTTTTTGAACATCGACTATTTGCCGCTAGCCATGGTCTACATATTAATTTTGTTCCTGGGACGTCACATTAAGTCGAGCCGCCCACTAACCGACATCGTTTTTGCCATTCTCGGGCCAAATATAGATTTAAGATTTAAGAACACGTGTTGCATTCATACTGAACTTATTGAGACCTATGACTACTACCAAAAACATTATGTTACTTTTTTCCTTTGGCCAGCGTCTCCGCCCCGAAATGTTTGATTTAGTACATAAACCGAAAAATCGGTTCAGGTCGTTGTTAGTGTTTAATTAATCTCTGTGTGTGACTTTTTTTTTAGAATTTTAAAAAACTTCGGAAAAATATGCCGAAGTATAAAAATGGTATCCAATATGTCATCCAAGCGACCGCCACACCACATCTCATTCTTATAGACACCTATGAGAATTTTGAGCAAAATAGTTGCTCACGGACCGATTTCACTGCCAGACACACACTATTAGCCATAAGTCGATAGACGTTTCCTTTCAAATACATCACGTCGATACCAACGTACGTTACCACTATGTACAATATTCCATACCAGCAACACATTTAGAAACAGTACTAATGTTTAATACAAAACACATTACCATATTCGATTGGACACGCGTTTAATGTAATTCATTCTGCCGCTGTGTATCTAATATTTACAGAAAGGAGCTAACGTCATCTGTGCATTAAATCGACTCGGGGTCTTTCGCTCGAGTAATGAAAAAGACAAATTGCTTTGCGTCGAGCTCCCGAATGACAGGGAATAAATCTTTACTTATAGTTCTTTAGTCTGGTGCAAGAATAGCCAAGAATGATAGATGACAATCATTTTGTCCTTATAAACGGTTCGAATGCTGTATATGATTTTCTTCTAACTAATAAAAGCTTTCATCAACCAAATCCTATATAGAGTTGTTTCTATTCTACTTAGTTTTTTGACGTTGGATGATATTTTCAATTTGTTTATGACGTAACTCCTGAATAACGATCTACAGCCCATGCTACTGCTGCCGGCCATAGATGACTAAAAGTGACTATTACTAAGAGCTAAAACATAGGAGCACGACTCAGTACATTCGAAGTACTCTTACGTCGGCTTTTGCCGAGCTGTGACATTTGCTATCAGAAACTATATTAATAATAAAAACGGTTACGATTATTCAAATAGCCTACCAGAAATATGCATTCAAATAAGGTATTACAACTTAGTTCTGGTAGAGTACGACAGTCTTCCTCTAGTCAACGAAATACTTCAATGAAGCTTGATGCTACCATTAGGACTAAGTCACTCCTACAGGATGATCATCACTTACCAGGTATAAGTTAGCAAACGTCCAATAATCACTAGCTTTTTTTTTTGGGGATTTTCTTCGCTATGCCACTGTACAATATATCTCGTGAGCCAAGCATGTTATCCTGTAAGATCTCACTAGATTTTGTAAACGCTAACATAGCTGAAAAGACTGCAGCGTCAACGCTTTTGCTAAGCGACAATGGTCCTTTGTCCCTTTCCGTTCATATCCGTGCCCACGTATCTCACATATATATACAATCAAGTCATAGCATCCATTGTGGTTGGATTACTTTTGCTAGTACAATCCTAGCGTTTTAAAGTAGTACATACGATCCAATTGCAATACACATTCATAGGTAAATCTACGTGTGAATCTGTTTATACCATATTAAAGCATTTATCTGAAAGGATTCAGAACAGCACTAAGTTCGCTTGTTGGGTGAACGTACGGGGAAGTAGACGAGTGTGTTGAGAAAATTAAACCGTAGAAGCTGAGTACTTAGGACTCGCTGTCCAAAGAAGATAGATCTCTATCGAACATCTAATGAAAATCGCCGGCTTTAGCTGTCTTCTTGTGTATCGCGTTACGCGGGTCATTTTAGGACCTTCATCTCACCGTTCAAAGCTATTGTGGATGCAATTCCGTGTCACAAGTGACCGAGAGGCACTGAAGTCGAGGAAGCAAAGAGGTAGATACTTCTAGTATTTTAAAGCGTTTTAAACGTTAGCAAAAATCTACGACAAAATAAAAAGTCAGTTCTTACGAGCGGAAATATCTTCAATAAAATTCAACCTGTAGGTGGCTTTATTTGAGTGGTCAATAATAGTATATATAAATATATACACTTAAGTTTAGGATGTGTGTGAAGGAGGTTTTTTTCAAAAAGTTTCACTTATCTATTTATAATAATCAAACAGATGCATAGCTATAGAAATGCTAAATAACAAAGATGCACAAGAAAGTGTATCATCAAACAACAAGTTATATAAACTACGAACTAGTATAGAAGTTTTAACCTGTAGGCATCGTTTCACTATCCCACTGAACGACTTTTCTGGTATACCAAACGAATTGTCCTTTTGGATTTGACAAGTCTTTAGCGGGTAACATGGCTAGATAAGCTGGAGCATCTGCACCTTGATCAGGTGTAAGCGGGCCTTTGTGTTTGGTCATATCGGTATTTACGTATCCGGGATGAACACTGTTCACAATCAGGTCCTCCCTTAGATCTGCGTCAAACTGCCGTTGATGGATGAAGCCAAGAGCGCACACAGCGACCTTTGACACGTTATAGGACGATGAGCCCCAACCCAGCTTTTCATTGGTACCTTCTTTTGCAGCAGAAAGAAACTCGTGCATCAGTGCAGTCAATTTCTCTTCTGTTAAATCTTTTGCAGCAAAACGTGCACGAAGTTCGGGGTTTCGTATTTTGCTGAGGTGGCCGAGCATCGAGGAGACATGAACAATCCTGGCAGACGGCCGCAAGATAGGAAAAAGGCTTTTGCTGGTATTGAGAATTCCGAAATAGTTCGTGTTAATAATGGCTTCCGCTTGCTCTACATATGATGTTGTTAATTCATGGTAGTACATTATGCCAGCATTGTTGACTAATACGTCAAGCCCGCCATATGCTCTCTGCAGGTAGTCCCTGAGCTTCTCAATCGAAACACTGTCGGTAACGTCGAGTTGATGGAAAAGCGGTGCTTTTTTGCATAATCTCGACAATTCTTCAACCGTTTCAGTTCCCCTCGTTTGGTCTCTGGCCGTAAGTATCACATCACCCTGAAAATTAAAGGAATTTTCACAAAACGATTCACTGCCGAGAATCTGTCTATTCCTTTGTACATTTATTGATTCCTTAATCTATTTAACGGGTATATACGCGTTATTTATGTACCTAAGCTGTTGTGTTCAAACATGTAGCCATTAAAGAGGATCTTAAGCCAATAAATATCACTACATCACAGTTTCTTGCATTCGTATAGTAGTTCCTCCCAGCTATGTTTTCTTCGGCTTGAACATCTTAGGAGTATTAATAAGTTATATATGTATATATATAGCTTTTTCCTAAAATATGGCATAGGTGCTCTAAGTATTGGACTCTGTTATCATTTATAGGAGGCGTTATTATAAAGATGTTAACATTATTTGATTCTGCCGGATGGTACAACTTAATCGTGCTGTTATTCGTGCCTTTCGATCTAAAAATTTACTTAATTCGCCAACTGAACCAGTATTAAAGCAATTAATGCAAAGTATTAACACCCTTCAAATTGTATAGAGTTTCTTCACCTGAAAGCCTCGGTCCAACATATGCTTAACGATTGACCTGCCGATTCCTTTATTTGCACCCGTAACAACTGCAACACGACGAGCCATACTCAATATAACTGTGAATAGCCTTGTCGTCACTATTGAAATGTCGTTATTAATTCATTAGCGTTTTAGAAGAACACTGATATTACTGTACATAGAGTATTAGACTCTATTATGCGTTTGGAAATAGGCCTCTAAATGCCACTCGGTGTGCGGGCGGTGTTGTATCAGCTGTTCTATATCGCACCGAATGGACGCATGCGCCTTTCTTCGACAAGAAGAAGCGGCGACCGTCGAATTCGCATTCGATACACTATGTATTAATGAGCCAGTCTGACATAAGACTAAACCCAGGAAAAGTTTAAAACGGAAATTCTACTCTTATTACCCATTGTATCCTTTAGTTTATATCGGCAGCTTAATTTGGTAGGCGGTACATACAGTCATTTATGTTAGGACTGCTGTTACAGAACTATAATTTCTTATAGAAAAAGATACTGTTATGATGTGATAATGAAAGAAACCACACGGCCACTAGATTATCAATGAAGATAAACATGTGGAGATTGACAGCTTTTCAGTTTTCTGCAGTTGTCTTTTTGGTGTTAAATAATCCTGTAATAACGAAATTACGAATTTAACTACTAATAAATTTAAATTCAGTAATCTCCACTATCAACAGACACGAGGGGATTCAATTTGAGAGTATCTTCTAAAGTGTGAAAAGACCAACGCATCAAACGCATTTATCTAACATTGGCAGGACAAATGATATAGTAAATCGCTTAGCCTTTTGAGTCTAAAGAAATACTTATTACAGTCAAAACAAGGTTAGCAATAAATTGAAATGGATTTGAGGGACCGCTAACCCGTGCTATCCGTAGCGTTAGAATTAGCGGTTGTAGTGATTACGATGAAAATATCCAAATAGCTTAATAACATAATAAAGTATTCGTACAAGACTACACATTTGTGACATATGTACTTCATGACACACAAAATACCCTCATAAAACTTTTTTAAACATCGAGCATGGTTTTCTCGAAAGAAAAAAAGTGCGGATTTCAATTGCATCATACCCTTTCTAAAAGAATCTAAATTTTAAAACGTGTTCTTCGCTAGTTATTTCAAAATCAATTGTTTCACCCTTTACAGGACGATAGCTACCCTAAGCGGTTGGAAGAGGTAAGTGAAGTAATGCCTCCGAAAACAGCAGATCAGGGACACCTGTTTCTCTAGCGACCTCTTCTTAACATGCATATGCTAGACGACATGCGCAGTGAATCTAATGAAGACAAACAAATGTGCGTCCATCATTCAAAAATAACTAATATATA